CTCATGGACATAAAGGACAGACACAAAGTATACTTGGCTGAGATTGAAGACCAATGCATATTAGGGTTGGACTATACACTACTGAGGAAGTGTGTAGTTAAAATGACGTTTGGGAGCAACGCAGGCCAAATCTCGGTAAGTGTTGCTGCACCTGTTGATTTGCATGTCACAGCACTTAAGTCAACTACAATACCCCCTATGTCAGAGAAGGTAATTTGGGATAGAATAAAAGAACATCTCCAAGGAAGCCCGATGCTTGTGGAAGCAGTGAAAGACCTATCCAGGCCAGCAGATATGAAGATTGGAAGATCACTTGTGGCAGGTCATCAAGTAGTACCCATAACAGTGGCTAATTTTTCTAAATGTGAGCAGACACTTTAGGAAGGGGCATTGTTGGGTGTGCGACAGGAGATAGAGCCAGTCAATGTTAAGGCAAGAAATACAACCATAAAGAAAGGACATCCTCTCCCAGAACATTTAATTGACCTCTATAAGAAGAGCATAGTCCATTTGTCATCGTTACAGCGAATTATGCAGTCGTCTTTTCAAAAGGAGATCATGACCTTAGCTGCACAGATTTTGTGGAGCACAGAATAAACACAGGCAATCACCATCCAATAAAGACCCTTCCGAGGAGAAGAGCTTCAGAAAAGCGACAAGAGATGTAGAAGGTCATGGATTGCCTAATTAAGGAAAGAATAGTCGAGAAATCAGATAATCCCTGTGTTCAGCTCCCGTCATGTTCGTCCAGAAAAAAGGATGGGACCTAACATTGCTATGTGGACTTCAGGGTTCGTCACAGTATAACCGAAAAGGACTCATACCCACTGCCAAGAATTGATAATACACTTGATGCCCTAAGTGGAGCCATGTGGTTTGCAACTCTGGACTTAAAGTCTGGTTACATCAAGTGAAAATGGCTGAAGCAGATAAACCTAAGACGGTATTTAGTTATGGTCTCTGGCAATACTGTGTGGTGCCATTCTGGGTTAACAATGCTCCAGTAACATTTGAGAGGCTGATGGAAAGAGTACTGGAAGGCTTACTATGGAGGATAGCCCTAGTGTACCTGGATGATGTCATTGTGTTTGCAGCTACATTTGATGAGGACGTATCCAGGCTATAGGAAGTGTTCAAGCGTTTGGAGGCAGCAAACTTCAAACTGCATCTTAAGAAATGGCACTTGTTTCAGAAAGAGGTGCTTTACTTTGGTCACATTGTAAGTGAGCATGGTGTGTGAACTGATCCTGACAAGGTGAAAGCAGTGCATGATTGGCCAACACCAGACAATGTGGGAGAGTTAAGAAGTTTCCTGGGAATCTGTACCTATTTGTACCAGAAATATGTGATGGATTTTGCAACTGTAGTTGCTCCACTACATGATTTTACAAAAAAAAAGCCAGAAGAATGAATGGACAGTTTCTTGCCAGCATGCTTTCAAGACACTGACAGAAAAAATGACCTAAGCTCCACTTTTAAAGCTTCCAAATCCTTCACTGCCGTACATATTGGATTGTGATGCTAGTAATGTCGGAATT